TGTTACCTAAATGAAAAAGAGATTTTACCTAACGCATTTGACAAAACTAGCTATATTTTTCCCGTGTTCTACATGTACCTCAAGGTGCTAAGGAAGTTATTCCTCAGCGTATGAGATTTTGTAACAGCACATGGTTGCAGGTGTTAAACCAAAATGGGGATTGACAGGAATCTTAAATATTCATAATCTTCCAGGAAAGAGGCAAAGAGTAGATGAGGAAAGGGATGCAGGTATTACGGAGCAAACTGACCTGATTGATCTACAGCTAAATTTCCTGACATTAGGGAGTGGCTGCACCAAGTCTAAATGTTTTCTCTTGTATTAGTTTCATTTTAAATTCAGTGTGGCTGGGCCTGCCACACTGACTCGAATACACGGGCAGTTGGAACCTGGCTCTGGCTGCCCACTGTTAATGAGCTGTGCTTTCAGCCAAGTTCTCTGGGACAGCAGTCTTGCTTCCAGGAGCTTGCGGAAATGATTATCCTGACCAAAACAAAGTTTTGAAATCTTAAAAATATTTACATTCTGTTTCAGAGGAAAAAAAAGTTAAAATTTCAAATTCTGTGAATCAGTAACCCAATCAAAACAAAATAATAGATTAGAGTAGTTGAAATTCTTTCACCTCAAATTTGTTTCTACATGTTTTGATAAATTAGCACTTATTTCTAGATAGCAAGTCCAGAATTATAAGTACAATGTCTTTATCAAAGCATCTTTTTTCTCTTTAGAAGATATTTCAGATGGTGGGTTTATGTTTTGAACAGTAAAAAGCCCACTTTCTGAACTGTTTCCTTTCAAGAAATTAGGACAGTGGAAATTATTTTAAGAAAAATTCTCTTCTACCCATCTCCCACCCTATCAAAATACGACTTTGGCAACCTGGCAGGCCTGTGCAGTATGTTAACTCCCTGTTGTCCTCTGGCTACCCTTTTCCAAGCAGTGATGGCTTGACTGAGGAGATAAGAAAAGCCTCTGGATGGCAAAGAATTCCCTTGAGATGGGTCGAGTACCAGCAGAAAGTTTTAGGCTGCAGATGGAAAGAATAAGATAGTAATTCCTCACTGCAGTGATAACATTTCTATAGTAGAGACAGTGTTTCTATCCTCCATGTGAGTTCACCGCTGGTTTATTTTTGTGGACCTGTTAGTCTTTGATAGTCTGGCTATGAAAATTGTTTCTGGTCTCTGCTAAGTGTATGTAGAGCTCCTGTTCTGTTTTGGAGGTTTGTTGTTTAACCTTCAAATTAATGTGTTCTAGCATTCAAATCATTTGTCATTAAAATGTTGCGTAAAGAATATCTGTATCAGGGATACTGATACTAGCAGAGGTAAGCAGGCTAATTTAAACACAGACCCCTTCTACCTCAGATCTGGATGCTTGAACTTGGTTGGAGGATGACACAATTAGTTCATTTCATCAGTAGCTATAACGATTGTGAAGTAGCACACTCTGAAAATGAGTGCAGCAAAACACTGGAGGCGATTGAATATTGAAGCCGTCCAGGTTGGTGAACTACTTCACTGTAAAATGGTTTATCCAGATGTCCCTGTTGTCTCCTGCTGAGAGCAGCAACTGAACTTTTCATATTTTACATTTGAACTTTTTCATATTCTACAGCATTTATAATGACCTTTTTAAACTCAGATATTTTGCTTTGTTATGTTAGGGAAGCCGCTTTATTGGTCAGTGTTGAATAAGGACTCAACTTTTGGGTTTGCACACACTCTTACACTTTATAAGCAAACCTCTTTATAATGTTCTGAAATAAAATGAGCATGTGTAGTTGTTATAACCTGTTGTTTTTTTCTCTAAGCATTTGAAGGTTTTAAAGGCATTCAGAATGGATATTAACTAGATCTAATACTAGATCTGACTTCCATAAGTGACACAAATACCGATCCTGCAGGACTCCTACATATGGATGCAATTTCACAAATTCTCTTTATTTCAATGGGAACCTGCTCATGTTTCAGTTTTGCTTTTTCTACAGTTTTTCTGTGTCATTTCAACCCTTCACCTTGTAAGTAAGGGATACTGTCAATTGCACAAGGATGTCAAAAAACTAAATAATATATGAAGATACAGAGCATTGTGTAAATAATGAATACCGTTCATATTCTTAATAACAATGCTATAATTACTTCTGCACAAGATAAAAGGCTTCTAATGCAATTATAAAAATACCATATTTTGACTGCATGCTTTAATTGTATAAAACTAAATTCTTACCCTCCACTTAAAATAAGTGAAAAAGTGTAGCGATCATTCAAAATGGTACCAGAATGATAGGAGTGCAACACGTAACCCTCAACAGTAATAGCTATTTTAAAATCCGGATACCAAATAAATGTGGGAACTGTTCACTCGTGAGTCCAGCATCAGTGGCAGAGCAGACCCAATGCCTGTGTTAATCATTTATTAATCAGAACAAGCAAATACAACAGAAACATCTCCCAAAGAAAAGGAGTGACCTACAGGCTCTTTCTGATGACTGCCCTTCTTCATTTGCTGTTCTTAGCCCCCCAGCGAGGGTTTTTTGCCTTTTGCTTTTCTACAATTCTTCATGACTTTAATATGTTTCTCTTACACTTTTCTCATTGTGCTTTCTGACCCTGTGGGTTACTCATTGTACTGGTGGTAGCAGGGATGACCTGCAATGCACGTGTGATTCATGCACCATGTAAAGCCCAGGTGAAGTCACTGTGACTCCCTGGGACCACAGCAGTAGACCTCTTTGGACAGAGAAGCAGGGATGCCCCTAAGACCCAAGGCAAGGTCTTAATTTTTATTTATTTTTAAAAAGGTTATGAGGAGTGAATATTGAGATAAATCCATGGAATGCAACAGATTAAAAAAAAAATTACCTAATGTTAGAGATTCACTCTACACATAACACTTCAATACTGATGCAACTGACAAAAGAAATTAGCATTTCCCCAAATTCAGCCATTTATATTACAGGTTATATCCTTTTTAGAACAATAAACTGGCAGTTACTCCAGCTGAAGTATGAGAGTATCATGAGTCCTCTTTTAACAGCATCAAAACTGTCATTACATTTTTGTTAGGCTTAGAGGAACTCCTGTTGTTGTGGGCAGCTCATGTTGCTGTTGGTCCGTGTGGCAGCGATGCCAGTGCAGGGCGGCTTGCACGGGGAAGTGCTTCAGGATCAGGCAGAGCTACCTCCTCCCAGGACACTGCAGCGAGTGGTTTAGAAAGGCAGGTGCTGCCGCGGCTGTAGTCCTGGACACACAAATGCAACTGAGCCTCAGTCATGTTTCTTTTCTTCTCGCTGGTTGGAACAGGCAGACGGTCGGACACATTTTCTACTTCTGAAATTCATCGTGGTCCTTGGCACATTTGCTGTTTGACTGAAGTACTGAGTTGGCTGGAATTCGTCCCGTTCCAGATGGCCAGCTTCACGGAGTACTTAGGGCATAGGTACAATCAACGCTGTGTGAGCTAACGTAGACCAGCACTGACTCTGCTGTGAATGCGATTATATATCGTAACTGGACAATTAAATTATTTTTGCAATGTAACTGTCTCATACAGAGTTTAATAGATTTGTTTCCCTGTGTATGAAATTGTTTTTCTCACAAAGGCTTCATCCATTATGTTTTGGATAAATTTCATACCAGGACTGTACGTAGTATAAATCCTGTGCGCAGTTCCCATTGATTTAGATGTGGATTACTAATTCCCTTGAGAGATTTTGAATTTCTTAATTTAAATTTATAGAGATCTGGCACTTCTGCCTCTTACATTAAAGTTCAGCAAAACATCTTTGCTTATAAAAAGGATGGAAAGGAAACTGCAAAGGACATGTGCTTATACGCTTCCCTATGTAGGAATGACTATAAATCATGTTCTTCAGGAATTTTGTGATTCATCTTAAAGTCTTTAGAAGACAGAAGGTAGATGAAATTTTTTTTTTACATTTCTTTTTTTAGGATTGGAATCTCTCATTGTACTGTTAATTCCCACCATTTCCTTGCAAAACAAATATTTTAGCAGTCTCATGATTATGTTCTAATTTGTTTAGCTTAAGCAATTGAAGAATTATTAAAATTCATTAGGTTATAAATTTTGTGGATTGCTAGCTCATTTATATTATCTATCATTGCTACTTGGATAAACACACAATTAGATTTATGGATACAAAGTAGTTGAACACAATGTGAGGAAGAAAATGCTAGAGTTTTCAAAATATTTAAATCATATGCCCCGTTCTGGTGTTCTGGAAGTGGGAAAACATGTTGGTTCATTTAGAAGAGATAGTTTATAATATTAAAATTGTCTATTTAGTATAAAGTACAGTAGGCTTTCTTAAACTGCCCCAACAGTTGACATTAACTAAAGCAGATTAAAATATGTTATTTTTAATAAGAACTAAATCATGCACAACTGAACATGTGTTTACTAAAAATGTGGTTTGGCCTGGCTGAAGTGTGAGAGAACCCTAGGTAAAGGCTTTCACAATGGCTTTTCAAACTATAAGAACAGAAGAGCCTTCCCTTTTGAGAAGATACAGAAATTATATGATACTTGGTTATCAGTCTGATATGTATGTGGGGGGTGGTTAGTTTTCTTTTTATTTTTTTTTCTTGCTTTTTTGAGAACTGTTTTCTTATTACTGCACATTGGTCCTGATTGCAAAGGGAGAATCTGGTTGCTGTTCTGGCTCAAATGGGAATGACACATGTCCAGTTTCAGTGCAGCTACAGCCGGGTGGCCGATAATGTTAACTGAAGTCATCCAGTCTTTATAAAGCTGTTATCTCTTCAAATAACGTTACCTTATTTGTCTTTACCACAGTGCCTTTTCTCACTTCGTGCAGTTACTAAAAAGTTCTAAAGTAATTTTGATAACAAAACCACAAGACAACTGTCCTTGCAATGTAATTTCCTGTGCCTATATCCCAGCACATTTAATATTGGATCTCATTTGTCAAAAACAAGCAAGCAGCTCTCAGCAGCCTGTATATCTTGGCGTTTCAGGTGGGGAAATGGGAGAACAACTCGCTGAGCCTGAAGTACTCTGTCTGGCCAAGGTACAGCTCTTTCGCAGACAGCGACCCAGACGATAACCATTTGAGCATTGTCACCCTGGAGGAGGCTCCCTTTGTCATAGTTGAGGATGTGGATCCTTTGATGGAAAGTTGCCAAAAAAACACAGTGCCATGTCGTAAATTTGTCAAAATTAAGTAAGTAAATACACAGCATTCCTATATTTTTTTGAGTGCAAAATATATTCCCCTATTTTTACATTAATTATTTCCCTTGCTTCTTTCACTGTATAATTGTGTTCTGATGCTTTGATGTTCTTTTCCTCTTGCTTCCTATCTTCACTTTTCCTTCTGTATTTCATTTTCTTTCCCACACAGTATGCTTTTGTTTGCACATCTTCCTTTTTAATAAGTTGGAAGGTTCTGGTTATATACATGTAAGTCACATTGAATTAACAAGATAGTGAGATTGTAGAAAATTCAAAGTCAACTAGAATTAGCCCTTTTCAGTCACATGAAAGAGGATTGCATTCTAAAATGGATTGTTTTAATGAGTTCTCTTTGGATTGTTTCCGGTTATGTTGAAATATGCCTGTTTTAATTAGGCTTTCACAATTTCAGAACGTCTCCTGATAAAAATGTATGTTTATGCTGAAGTTTGGTGCAGGATAAACTACTCCAGCATAAAATACTATTGTGACATACAGTCTAGAGAGAAGTGCCCTCCTTTGATTGCTCTATAACATTGGACTAGTCATTAGACACCAGTGGAAAATTTCTCATTGTGCATTTATCAGTGTTGTTTCACCTGTTCTGTGCTTCAGTTAAAGTATTTATGAACTGAGAAGAATCACAGAATCATAGAATGGTTTGGGCTGGAAAGGACCTCAAAGATCATAGAGTTCCAATGCCACCGCCATGGGCAGGGACACCTCCCACCAGCCCAGGTTGCTCAAAGCCTCATCCAGCCTGGCCTTGAACCCCTCCAGGGATGGGGCATCCACAGCTTCTCTGGGCAACCTGGGCCACTGCCTCACCACCCTCACTAATAATAACATTTTTTTACTGAGCAGATATTAGGGGATATAATGCATGTTTTGGAAGATTTCCAGAGACTGCTAACTGATAGTGCACATACTTCCTAAGTCCAGAGAAACATTTTTTTTTTCACATAGCTGTACTTAGTCAAGTTCTAAACTATTTTTATTTCAATTTTCAGTTCTTTCAAAGCCTATAAACTGTTGCATTGGCTTCTGAAGATTCTTATACTGGAAAGTTCTAGAGGTCATGAAATGAGCATTTCAGAAAAAAAATAAAGGGAAAGTCCTCCACTTTGCAATCAAAGGTGGCCTGAAATTCACCTTCTCAAAGTGCGGAGAAAGGTGCAGCATCCGTTTTCATCACAGTGAACTGCTGTGCCTTTATACAGCTGGCGTGTTGAGGAGTTCTCTAATTACTAAATGACATGCAGTCTTGTGTCTTGAGAGTAAAAGTAGTAAATAAATGTTTAATCTAAGCCTAAAGAGAGATTAGCAAGAGGAGACTGTGTCTTGATGGAGAAATAAAGTGCAGTAGGCTGGATGCTGCAGCATAAGGCATGTCATACAAGGTTGACGCTATCTTCTGTTTACCTCTTGCCAAGCAACTGCATTGTGCTTAGTAAGAGCTACAGACACCATATAAAGCATCCTGTGGATTGTTTCTCCATCAATTCAGAAAAACATGATCACCCACAAGTGTGACAAAACGTTGTTTCACAGTATGTGAATCTTGCTGTTGTGGTGGTTTTGTTTTTCCCAGAAGAAATGTTTATGTCTCTCTTCTCTGTTGACAGCAACAAAACTAACGAGGGGACCAACGTAAAGAAGTGCTGCAAAGGGTTCTGCATTGATATCTTGAAGAAGTTGTCTAAAACTGTCAAGTTCACGTATGACCTGTACTTGGTGACTAACGGGAAACATGGCAAAAAAGTCAATAATGTGTGGAATGGAATGATTGGTGAAGTAAGTTCTGTTAGGTAAAAGAGCTCTTAAGTAAGAACTTAGCGATGTTTGGTTTTAATTCTTTTGGAGAAATGAGGTATTCTCTACTAAGTAATATTGGCGGTGTCTTCTCTTTGTGGCTCAGGTGGTATATCAGCGTGCAGTGATGGCTGTGGGGTCTCTCACCATTAATGAAGAGCGCTCCGAAGTGGTTGACTTTTCCGTCCCATTTGTTGAGACTGGGATTAGTGTCATGGTGTCGCGGAGTAATGGCACAGTTTCACCATCTGCTTTTCTAGGTATGACCCTCCGACACTCCAGATCATTTAATTGCATTTCTATAGAGTTGGGTAGGCTTTATAGTTTGTTAAGGTATAAAGTGCACTGACATGTTTGTCAAGTTTGGAATTTTACATTAGGAGGTTTGTACCATGTTGATGTGCTCATTAACGGGATAATTAGCACGTGGAGATAGTGCTGTTGGTTTCAGATGCAGTAAGTGAACACCAATGATAGTGATTTCAATATGGAAAAGAATCCCCCAAAATCTTCATTTGGGAAAATTACTTCCTCCAAAACTGCTTCTTTACAAACTAATTTATGCTTGTTTAGCCCATTATAAATGGTTTCATATATTTTTAACATTTACATTCACTAAATAATTTAAAAACCCCTTGTAGAATAGCTAATAAAAAGAGACTTCCTTATGCTTAGAAGAGCTCTGACAGCTAATTTCATAAGTTACTTCTGGCTTCTGAACACCATGCTACTGCACTGGAGAGCTTCTGATCATGTCTCCATTGATGCAACTGACCAGTGGAGTTTGTGATGATGCAGCTGAACAGTCGAGATGTAGCAAAGAAATGAAAGCCTGGGCAGAAAGGAGGTGGGATATAAAGAAACAAAGACTTTGGTCTTATTTCCTTGTTTCCTCCTTGTTTCAATTGTTCATTTCTGCTTCCATTGTTTCCCTCTCCTTCTCTTTTAGTGCTTATTGTTTACTTCTGTATTTGGTGGTTAGCCTGAATTTACCCAAAGCTAAAAAGAGAATAAGCCATGAGATGGATAAAAACTGCCTGGAATGCTGTTATGTTCCTCATAGTGTATTTGGGCCCAGCATTTTTAAAGATATTTTGCACAGGAAAATAGTGCTAGTGACAGGAAAATCATTTAAGTGAAATTGGGAAAAAAAAAAAAAAACCCCAAACCAATATGTTCCAGATATCGTAGGGAACAGTTTATACGTTCAAGTCTGTTGGGTCAGCTGTGATGCCATTTTTGCATCATGGTTTCTTTTTAGATTGCCAAGTGTAAGTTCTTCACTTCCACTGAAATCACTTGTAGCCATCGAGGAGCAGACTGTTGGTGCAGTATCAGCTACAAGTGGGCAAATAATTGGATTCTCTTGCACAAGAGTAATCATTGAGCCACAGAGCTTATTTCTCATGTCTGTTCCACAAAGACATATTACAGAGGTGATGCAAATAAATATAACACAGCGAGTAATCAAATAACTTCCCAAACCTGCTGATACTTAAACAGATTTTGTTGGTGGTTAATATTTTTGTCTAATGAATAAAAGACTTTTTAATGAAATTTTAAGAGGCTGTATTTTTAATAAAAATATTCTGATAGTGTCTTTTCATTTCTGTAAGTCATTGACTTGTAAAGTTAATTAGTTTTTTTAAATTGCAGTTGCAGCATGTTGAAATTATCATTTGAAATATTAGTACTGGTGTGTTTTATAAACGTGTTGCAAGCGCAGTTGATTTTTACTCTGGACCCTGCTTACCTCTTAAAAATCTGCTTACCACTACCATCAAAAGAGAGGCTGCTTTTACACTTTTCACAACATAGGTATTAGGTTTCTAAAATGCATTTAATATTATTGGTTTAGTTGGACGTACGTGTAATTCAAAAAGTGAAAATTATCCCTTCTTATGAAGCTCTATAGAATAGCATTGCTTTTGGAGAAGTCTGATTTACTACACCAATAAATCAAGTCTGTGCTTTCAGAAGCGTGTTCTGATTTTTTAGACGTAGATTAAACTACCACTTTACTGGAATTGACTGTGTGTTTCGATGAGGTGTGCGTAGCAGTAAAATGCTTTGCCATGCAAAATACTATCAGGCAGATAACTGAATTTATTCACAGACTGATTTTGTTTCAGTTAAGTCAATATCTAAGCATAGAGTCATAATTATTTTAAAATATTTTTTTAAAAATCTGTCAAGTATTAATTTTTTTTTAAAACAGCACTTAATGATGGTTCATTACATATCTGGTTTTGTGATTTGTTACTATGAATGTAGGCAAGCACAGGATTTAGTCTGAACTAGACTGCCCATTCAGTGGTTGTGTCCAGTATATCTCAGTAACTGACATGCTGACAGCCTCTTCCTCATTATCTGCTCTGTTCTGTTTCTATGTAGGTGACTCCTTCAAATGAGAATTTTATCCACATTAGAACATTTTCATATCACACTAAAATTCATATATGCTAGATCCACAAAAATTTTTTTTAAAGATTCTGTGGAGATTTGATTCAACTTTATTTAAACAGTGGAGTAAGATATCTTTTTCATTGCTCAGTGTTCTCCATTGCCAATCATTTGAAATGTACACCGACAAGTCATACATTAGTATTTTTCTGCCGTATCATAGCTTTACTGAAAATTACTATAAAACCTGTTGTTTGCCTGAGGGAAGTTCTTTTTCTGTCCTTTGAGAACCAAAGACCAGTGCTGAATGTGTAATTAGATCTCTAATATGACAGGAGGATCGACCCTGGTACTCAATTGATTTTGTACTTGTTCAGTCTTCCTGCTCAGTATTCTAAATAGCTTTTTATTTTTTATTGCTTCTTTTAATCCTCCACCTCATTACCAGACTGCTTAAATTATTAAAGAGCAGTCTGCTTAAACTGTTGTTTATAGCTCACTTTTTCCCATCAGCTTGTTTTGCCCTTTGCCTCATTTAGATTTTGACAAATTACCATTTGCTGTTTCTACACAGTTGCTTTTGATAAGAGTTTTATCAGGCTTGCTTTCTTCTGTGAGAATGCTGTCAAAATTGTATGATAGTTTTATATGAATTCCAATTTACTCCAGTTAATATGTGAATTCATAGAACATTTGTTATTAACTGTATTTGGCTACATAACGTCCTTTACCTGTCTGCATCTGAACAGATCTTTCTCTGCCTTTTAAGAATTCAATTTTTTTGCTAACTTACTATTCTCTTCCAAACAAATCATTATAGTCATTGAAAGAACTTCATAACATCTCTTAAAAAATAATTAAAAAAAAATACTGTTCCTTAACTTCATCTTGAAAATAGAAAGAGAATCGTTTGGATTAAAATTTTGCTGCCTTGCCTTTTCAGTTCACATCCAGAATCACCAGTGGGGCTACTTGGAATTTGGTCTTTTCTTGGTTCCAAATTTCTGAAGAAATTGTAGCAAAGGCAAGTGATCTCAGGAGACTGCCGTGCCTGGGCCCAAGTCATTCCACTTCGTTCTAGTTCTGGGTGAATCACTTGTGCTGACTTGAGCAAGGTTCTGACTGGGCTATTGGGCTTAACTCACCTCAACTCTCACTTGCAGCTGTTTCCTGCAATGATGGAAGAATTCTCAGTGGTTCAAATCTTAAATTCAAAGAATGAAGAAGTTGGGACGGAGGAACCACTTGGGCTTTCAAAAACAGACAAAGCATTGGAACAAACTGATTTGTTGTCATTTCAGGTGCTTCTTGATTCTGTTCTGACATGAAATAGTATGCTAAGACTTTTTTTTTCCCCTCAAACTTCAGAGCACACTCACACTTGCATTATCTACCAAAATTAGGATATAAAATGCCTACAAATAAGCTGACCTAACAAAGAGATGCCACTGTGCCATACAAAACCTTTCTTACATACGCCCTTATAGCATAACAGCTACCACAGGGTCTCCTGAAATGACAGAGAATTTGTGATTGGGCAAAGGTGATATTTAAGAACTTTGTGTTATCACATACTATTACCATCTTCAGTCCTTTCAAAATGTTGGTGCTTAGTCTGGTATTTGAAACTGCTTTTAGTTTTCTGTTCTAACCTACTTCTTTTACTTAATCATGATTTTTCTGTTTTTTAAAGTGACATTGAGTTTTCCTTAAAAATCCTTTGATTTCAGAAATTTGCTCCCAGATGAGAATGAGACTTTCAAAAGGATATGTTTGCAATTGGTAAAAACAACATCTTCATTGCAGGTAGATGAACGTGAACATGGAGAGAAAAAAAAATTCAGAAACAAAAAAATGTACTTTGAATGCAAGTATTTAGCTTTCTTCTCTAGCACTTTTTCTTGGATATAAAATGAGAGAGAAATCTGCTTCACTGAATTACCAAATGTATTAAACATATGCTTAATTGCTTTTGCTCTGCAGAAACACAGTCATAAGGTTTGGACCATTCTGTTGATAAATGCATATAACACGGGCTAAGTAGAAATGCGCTACCTGAGTGTAGACTGAATAAGCAGTGAGTCAAACCAATTATTTGTCGACAAGAAGCATGCAGCCTTTGTGTTTGAATTGCAACTTACATTTAAGATTTTGACTGTATGAATTTTGTGTATAGTAACAACAGTTCCTTATATATTGCTTAGTTATTTGCTAGGATTTTGGTTGGTAAAAGCTAATTTGAAGAAAGCTGCTGGGCTTGCCTAGCCATAGCCATTAGAATTCTTGTGCTGCAACTGGTTTAATGAACTGTGTTTCTGTTTCTCTTGTCTGTTTTGCTACAGAGCCTTTTAGTGCTTCTGTCTGGGTGATGATGTTTGTGATGCTTCTCATTGTGTCTGCCATGGCTGTCTTTATATTTGAGTACTTTAGCCCTGTAGGATATAACAGGAACTTAGCACAAGGGAGAGGTAAGCTTTGCATTTTACACAACCCTAGAGCTATAAAAAAATCATATATTCCCAGCCCTTGTCCTCCATCTTTTAAAATAAACATAACATAGGAGTAAAACAGTAAAAGCAGCTATGAAACGATGTCTGCTCTTAATTTAAAATATGATTTCTTGAGGGTCTATATGCTTATGTTTGTATTCTAATTTGTTGGAATAAAGACACATAGGTAAGTGATATCAGAGAGAGCTGTATTCAGGCAGTGTTTGGTTAGTATACGGTATCAGCTGTAGAGTGTCAGCTTAAAAAAACATTGGAATAAGTTTTACAGACTCCTGACTCGTATGAATTCATGGTTAGTTCAGAGATAATGATCTGAACTGGTGTGGTTTGGTGGGTAATCTGGAAAAACAGAAGTTACATTGTATGTAGTATTATACGGTCCTTATAAAAATTCTGATGAAATGAGAAATTCTTGAAATGAGGCCATTGGCAGAAGGGCATTGCTTCTTTTGTAGCATCCATGGTTATAGAAACCCCATTTGTAAAATATACCAGCACAACAAATGTACTACAGAGCTTGCCTTTCTCAGTGACCCTGCAGTGGTGTATTATCAGCACTTTCACCTGAGAATGAGGATTCCATGTACTGTGGTGCCCTCATCCTTCTCCTTCTCTGCTTACAGTTCAGAGTGCAACCTGGTTTTGATTTCTAAATCACACTTGCCTCGTTTTATAAAAAGAGATCTTCCAGGTTTGTGAACACTGTTCTGGACATTTATTACAAGCTAATGGCTTCTTCTCAATTGTGATTGGTTTGCTCCCTGAAAAGGGGGATTATTGTACTGTTCGGGTTACGTAATCGTTTCAATAAGGTGGTAAAGGTGTAACCTCTGTCCAACATAAACACTGTGTTTAGAAAGGGGAAATGAAAGGTGGACATAGGCACTGGGGACCTAGGGGCTTGGCTGTTCTTTTCTGTGCCCCTTCATGTGCCAGAATTGATTATTTAGCGTACTTACAGCTACAAAGGCACATTATGGCACTAGACCTTCGAAGCTTAGCTCTAGAGACTTGCCATGAATCCAGCTGACATTCATTTAAAACATGGGAAGTTTAAAATAAATGGGAATCTTTATGAAGATTGCTCCTTTCCCCAGGCATTTTTGGCAGGATGAAGCTCCACGGTAATACAGTCTCCAGCAGCATAAACAGAACTTTAGATTGTTGTCTTGGCGTATGCGTTCCTTATCATTGTTGCTCAGAAAACACATATTATCTCTGTATAAACAGAACTTTAGATTGTTGTCTTGGCATATGCGTTCCTTACCATTGTTGCTCAGAAAATACATATTATCTCTGTATCAGGTCCATCTTAAATGCCTCTAGAAGGTGGTTTCATAAACCAAAACCAGCTCCATTGTGTTTATTTTACTGCATTCTATCTTCTGAGCACTGCTGCAGAATAGAAAGAGGATAATCTAAGATGTTGTGCTTGATTGCTTTGTGAAAAATTTGCACAGTAATAGAGAGCATTTCCACTGAAATGAGGACATGTACTGAGTATACCC